AAAAAGTGAACAAGTAAATTTTCTTGCATAGAAATTTTCTTCCGTATCAGTTCTTGCATTAGATTAGATTGTCCATCTTCTCATTTTCATTGCCATGCTATTATATTTGGATCCGCCTTTTTTTCGTTCCAATTAAAATCAACATCTATGATATTTATATGATAACTGCTTTGTTCTCTATGTTTGATACACTCCACCTTAATTTTCTTTTACTTAGAAAGATGGCTAGAGATTATATTCTTCCCATTATGTGCAGTATGGTACCTAACCATTTTTAGCGGAAAATACTCTAAAAATATCATACCATTTCAATTTGGATTTTTTTTTTCATATTTGGCATAAATTTAAGTGGTCAGGCCCTTCTCCGGACACTGCACAAGCGGGAGCTACGTGTACCGGACTTTTTATATTTGGCACAAATTTCTTTGGAGCAAAATTTTCTGGACCTCCCAGCATATGGTTGCTTAGGTGGAATATGTGATTGCCGGCGATACACAAAGGTGCCCCTGAACACTGATAAAATTTAATGATCTGCATTGATAAATTTTGATTGGTAAAGCTGTAAGTTTAGGTGGAATACATGATTGGGGGCGATACGCTGAACGATGTGGCGGCAGATGGGCTATGCTCTTGTAGTGATTGCAGGGATGGCGTAGGACGAAGTTTGCAACGATGGTGGGAGTTAGTGCTGGGAAAGGGAAGTGGTGTTGGTTGGTTATTGTCCGTCATTTTGTGTATTGTCTGTCATTTTTGTTTGAGTAGCTGACATCCTTCTCTCTATTATCTCTCTATTGTTTCTGTCTATGCTCAGTAAAGAAGAAATGTCCCAAGAAGGACCAATGCGGGTTATTACATGATTTGGATGTATGGTTAATCAATACACACAAATTTGTTAGTTTGTCCCGCTCATGGACACTATTTTATTGATCATTGACTTATGGATTTTTGCTGCATGTAGGTGCAATGTTTTTGAAAATAAAGGTTTCAAGAATGGTTCACTTTTAACTGGCGATAATGCTCTCGAGTCATATCCTGATGTGAGATTGCTATCTTTTATATTTAACTTCTGTTTCTTTACGATTGCCCTCTCACCCCTTTTGCATTTGGATGTGAAAGCTTTGTGGGTTGTTCATTTCAGTTCTGCGACTAATTCTCTTATGGATCTTAAGAGAACTCGAGGGATATTGTTTCAGTTCTGCTGCAAAGGAACAAAAGTAGTATGGTAGTATAAATAAATAAGGTTGTATTGTTTTCATTTTTATCCGTTTGATAATTATGATAGAATTATTGCATGAAGCTATGTGTGCATACAATATGTAACCAAATGTGAATTATAATAGATTCAAGCCTTGCTTCTTCACTGCTTGGAAGCAAGTCTTCATCTTCTTAAGGGATTATCCGCTACAGTGCCTAGGAAATTCATAGGACATTTTAATGGTCTGTTAACTAAAGCGATGGTCATCCACAAAAAATATTTGAAGTTGATACTAGCCATAATAAGTGCATAACAAGCCTACATGTTGTCTACATTTTTGCAGATCTCGCTATCCTTGTTTAACTCAATGGAATCAGATAATTTAATCGTGTTCCCTAACAAGTCCTTGTAGATGTGCACCTCCCCCCTCTGACCATCTCCTCAGGGTCTCTCTCTAATCCTAGAGCCAGGCAACAAGAATGGTTGGTTTTAAGAACAACATGTATCTATTTATTCATTATTGATTTATTGTTTTCGGGGAATTGTTTTGCCCCTAATCATATCATTGTTACTCTGCCTACATTAGATTATGAGTATGAAAATGATGAATTTTATGTAAATGCTAATGGTTGACTACCACATTACAATGCTAGGCCTGCCTGAGTTTTGAGGACCCTTCTACTTTCCATTCCACAAGAAAAATAACACACAAATTTATCGCACAGTAGATACAGTAGTGCACAGTAGATACAATAGATACTGTTCCAACGAGTGCGTGTCCCTGGGCGTGGCGAAATCCTACCCACGGCACTGCTTCCATGTATCACCGAATATGGCTATTACTAAACGGTTCGGCGCGCAACGCGTATCGCTGCCGCTGCTACTTCCTATGGATCCGCGCGCCGTGGGCCACTGGTTGCAGCCTTAAAATCCAAATAAACAACACCCGGTTTGCTATACAGGAATATACAGTCACATCGTATCTGCCTCCCCTGACGCTCCTACCTAGTAGTACCTACACCTACGACGCAGTAGTACACACCACACTTCCTCTTCCCAGCTTTCATAATTTGAAACACACCCGATTAGATCTGGCTGGGCTTCTTCTTCCCTGAGATTTTGTGCCGTGAGACTGCCGAGATCTTGGCCTGGAAATGAAACTTTCTTTCTGGCCATTTAAGACCATTATTGAAAAAAATTGAAGAACTTTATTTTGAGTGGATTATTTTTTTAAATAACCGTGGTAACAACCATATGCATGAAAAATATTTCAATGTCAACTGAAACTTTTTTTGAAAAAGTACAACCCCGCTTTAAAGATATACCCCACTCAATGAACTTTAATCTCGCATACCCGGTGCGTTCGTGTACAAACATGAAGAACTTTACATAATTCACTGGGCGACTGCACAAGGATAGATTCCTGCATGACAAACTTGAATATAATATGCCCGGTGCTTTCGTGATCAAACACGAAGGACTTTACTGAAAGGACCGTGCGATTGCACAAAAATAGGCCCCCACTTAATGCGCTTTAATTCAGCATACCCGGTGCATTCCTGTACAAGCATGAAGAACTTTACGTAATTCACTGGGCGATTGCACAAGGATAGATCCCCGCATGATAAACTTTAATATAGCATGCCCGGTGCTTTCGTGTTCAAACACGAAGGACTTTACTGAAAGCGCCGGACACAAAGATAGACCCCACTTAAATAAACTTTAATCTAGCATACCCGGTGCGTTTGTGTACCTACATGAAGGACTTTACATAATTCATTGGGCGATTATACAAGGATAGATCCCTGCATGACAAATTTTAATATAGCATGCCCGGTACTTTTGTGTTCAAACACGAAGGACTTTACTGAAAGCCCACTTAAATGAACTTTAATCTAGCATACCCGGTGCATTTGTGTACAAGCATGAAGGATTTTGCGGACTATTTTTTGAAGAGCTCGCCATTAAAAAATCAACTAAGTAAATTAATGTATATTTACATAATATGTTAATACAAAAACTATGAATAATTTAGCTTCAAAAATTCTTCAGCCACACTTTTGTTGGCTCAGAAATTCTTCAGCAACACTTTTGTTTCCCTATCTCGGAATGTTTGTTCGCAACTTAACTGAACTTTTTAGCACCAGAGTTTTATACCAAGACAGTAATTCATTTAATACTAGTGAAGAAAATCTGCACATTTAAGGAATCTAATCGAGTTCACTCACTTCACTCATCCTGCGAGCTTGTGCATGCATGGGCAGCTATTAGATCAGTACTACTAATCGGTAAGGACAAAAGTGGTACTGGGAGCAGGGCCCTGGGAGGATGCATGTGCACCTGTAGACCACAGTCGAACCTATAGGGCTGGCCCCGCAGCCGGTCCAATCAGGTGGAATACATCTCCACGTACGCACTATCGAAATTCGCTGGTAGTTGTAATACCATGCAAAGCTGACAGCTTGTGGGCCTCATTGATTTGACTTCCTGGTGGATGTGTGGGTCAGATACGCCTAACTAGTTAGGAAAAATCCGCGTCCCATGTATCACATTTTGTATTCTACTTTTTTTACTCAAATGATGCACAATCCAAGCAGATTTACCTTAATTGTGTTTAATTTGTTTAATTGCAGATTTACGTATTTATTTAGTCTTGGCCATGTATAATTTTGTGCACGATGTTGGGAATGGTACTTATTGACAACTTCCAGCAACTTTGTTTACTATGTACAATGCCGATTACATGGCATGAATGTTGATTCTCATAACACGATTTTTGGTGCACTTCTCACCTATACACCGAGAATGAAATTGGAGACAACATTCATGAGAATTGCATAATCTAATTTACGAATTACTAAGATAATTGCTTGTGTCTTCACTCTTTACACTATGCATAGAATGATAAATTATAGCATTTCTTGGACATTTGAATCATAAGTTGATTGGCCCAGGAGCTTTGCCGGTGTATCGAGGACAAAGTCGGATTGCCGAAGCTCTCCGGGGCCAAAGCCCAAAGGGTTGGCTGATATCCGGAGATAGTTTCATTTCAAGTGTATGTGGGTTGTTTTTCTTTCCGCGACATTATGGTTGCCCGCCAGGTGTAGTCGCGTTGTCTTTGTAACCGCGGCATGGCCGCCCGACTCTATGTAATGTCTATTTCTTCTTCTAATACATTAGCATGCAAACCTTCTAATACATCTTCTAATAAAAAAAGTTGATTTATGGTATTTGGATTACTATCAGAATGTCTTTTCTATGCATGTGATTTCTCACATATGGTTATAATATTTGTGAAGACGTGCATTGCACGTGCACTTGGAAGCGGGCCCGTGGCCCGTGCCGGACGGCGCCGACGCCGACCCGAGCCACCTCGTCCGCGTATTCTTGGAGCTGTGGCTGGCCGATTTACATGAAATTAATTCCCTCAGTTCTGGTGGCAAATATAATACACATAATCCATATTGTTATGCACTAGAGTGTATGTGTGAAATAGATGGATTATGATCCCGTACTCAATAAGATAAATATGTGTGTGTTAGAGAGAGAGGGAGAGGGGGATAGAGAGTGAGGAAGAGGGAGGGAGAGTGTGTGTATGAGGATTTGATGGTAAAAAAGGTCTTCAATGTCGTAATATTGAACTCTCACGGGCGTTCTTCTAGTAACTGATAGTGTCTCATGTGATGTGATTCGGTGGTCAATGCCAAATTACCTTCCATGTATAGCAAGAGTATGAATCTGGACATAACCACCCGAATCAATCTGTAATTCCCTGTAATGGCGCCTAGTGGCGTACATCCCATATATGTATGCGACCCTAAAGACCATGGCTTCACCCTATTCTTTTCCAAAGGATAAGGCGACGAAACAAGCAATGGCCTCGTCTCGCAGCTTGGCTCTGGCGCTCCTCTTCAGCCTCCTCTCACTCTCTTGCTATGCATCCGTCCCTTCCTTAGCTTCCTCCGACGGCTTCCTCCGATGCCTCTCGGCGGCCATACCCAAGCAGCTGTTATACACGCAGACCTCGCCTTCGTTCACCTCGGTCCTGGTGTCCTCCATCCGGAACCCCAAGTTCTCCACGCCTAGCACGGTGAAGCCGCTGTGCATCGTCACGCCGACCAACTCCTCCCACGTCCAGGCCGCCGTGGTCTGCGGCCGTCGGAACGACGTGCGCCTCCGCGTGCGCAGCGGCGGGCACGACTACGAGGGCCTCTCGTACCGGTCCGCACGACCCGAGGTGTTCGCGGTGGTCGACCTGGCCAACCTCCGCTCCGTGCGCGTTGACCAGAAGGCGGCCACCGCGTGGGTGGACTCCGGCGCGACGCTCGGGGAGCTGTACTACGCCATCTCGAAGGCGAGCAAGCTGCTAGCTTTCCCGGCCGGCCTGTGCCCGACGATCGGCGTGGGCGGGCATTTCAGCGGCGGCGGGTTTGGCATGCTGCTGCGCAAGTACGGCGTCGCCATCGACAACGTCCTGGACGCCACGCTTGTTGACGCCAAAGGGAGGCTCCTGGACAAGCAGGCCATGGGGACGGACGTGTTCTGGGCCATCCGCGGCGGCGGCGGCGAGAGCTTCGGCATCGTGCTCTCGTGGAAGGTGAAGCTCGTTCCCGTCCCGCCGACAGTGACAATGTTCAGCGTCACAAAGTCTGTCGACGAGGGCGCCGTAGACATCCTCACCAGATGGCAAGCGGTCGCCCCAGCTCTCCCCGAAGATCTTTTCATCAGGGTGCTCGCGCAGAAACAGGTGGCCAACTTCCAGGCCATGTACCTGGGGACACCCGGGATGCTGCTGCCGCTGATGCGCAGCCGCTTCCCGGAGCTCGGCCTGAACCGGACGCACTGCAAGGAGATGACGTGGATCCAGTCGGTGCCGTACATCTACCTGGGCAGCGCCGCCACCGTGGAGGACATCCTGAACCGGACCACCGCCACGAGGTCCTTCAGCAAGGCCACGTCCGACTACGTCCGTCAGGCCATTCCCAAAGACGTCTGGGTGAAGATCTTCGCCTGGCTCGCCAAGCCGGACGCCGGGCTCATGATCATGGACCCTTACGGCGGGAAGATCGGCAGCCTCCCGGAGTCGGCGACGCCGTTCCCGCACCGTGGCGGGGTGCTGTACAACATCCAGTACATGAATTTCTGGTCGGCCGCCACGGACGGATCGGCGCAGACGAGGTGGCTCAGAGAGTTTTTCGCGTTCGTGGGGCCGTACGTGAGCAACAACCCCAGAGAGGCGTATGTGAACTACAGGGACCTTGACCTGGGCCAGAATGTGGTTGTGGGGAACGTCACCAGCTACCAGGCCGGTAAGGTATGGGGCGAGAAGTACTTCAAGGGTAACTTTCGGAGGCTCGCGGTGGCCAAGGGCAAGGTGGATCCCGACGACTACTTTAGGAACGAGCAGACCATCCCACCACTAGTGGCGACGAAGTAACGATGAATATGCCATGCGATCAAGCTATATGTGTGAAGGAGTGGGTTTCTCTTAGGAGTATTTTGGTGGCTGGTAGCTATTCTAGTTGTTCCATACTTTGGCACGGAAAGTTTCAACAAAAGTTTCGATGCTATTCAAATTTGGCTCAAATTGCTCCCACCAGACTAATTTGACCGAGATGCAAATATTTGGTACCTGTTCACATGAGCAAAATTTACAACCGTTGACCAATAGGCGAAACTCTATTGATCATAGCCTTACTATTTTTTTTGACAGAGTAATTACTTCAATAGCTCTAAAAATTTCCATCTCTTTAGCATTAGGCTCTTTAGGGATAAGTGTAATCTGAGCAAAATTCAGCCTATAAATATCCAATGTACCAAAATGTAATAACATCTTGAAATTGTTGATAAAATAAGAAAGACAACCCATCACGCAGAGGTGCCCCACTAGCGTAGGAGCTCATGATAGCATTTTTAATTTCTTCTTCGGAAAAGTGTTTATCCAAATTATCATTCTCTTCAATTGTAAGTCAGTAACTAGTTCCTCTCTGGACCAAAAATGGTCACTCAAATGAATTAGGCTTTGTTTCATATCCAAACCACATGAAGTTCAGCAATAAAATCAAATTTATCCACATCATAAGTTGTATCATAAACTACCACAAGATGCCAGTAGAAGCCATCCAACCTATTCTTAATAGTAATTATCAAGAAGTCCCCAATAATCTCAAAAACATCCTCATTTAGCCCTACAAGGATGCGCCTAGAAGTGTTGATAGTAGGAAGTAAGTGCCAAGAGAAACAAAAATTCAAATCAATACTTTTTAGGATGGACTCGGAAATACTTTCCCCTCTTAGTTTCTTGGAAACCAACAAAATCATGTTTACTTTTGTTAATTAAATCTGACAGCCACCGTACTTTTCCATCTTGGCTCATACCACGAATGTTCTAGAAACTACCTATCATGATATCCTACATGGATGAGATAGACTACAAGGTCTAGCTTTAAGGACATTAGCTACATACCAGGCAGTGCCCCTGGTTCATAGCGAGTACAAATGCCAGTAGGGGGAGTACCAACTCCACTGCCTGAACACAAAACATCATTGAAAATAACTTGAAGGATATTTAAGGATTTTGAGTAGAAAAATCAAAACATTGTTGAGTTTCTAAGTTAACCATATTCTCAATAATATCTTTTTAAAGCCATCGCCATCAATAATGATGTCAATAGTAGAAGCGTGATTATCTAAAATAGAGCATGGTAGATTAATGGAAGACTTACGTCTGAACATCAAAGGAACCTCTTTACTTAATTTTACAAGCAATGACTTTTCCATTGTGTTTTTCCTCCCATGATTGATGGTATTTGTATTTTGGAAAAGAACAACCCACTTATTATGAGTAGTTGAAGTTTCGGGATTCTTGATCACCAGAGCAGTGAGGCCTAAGCCATCTCTTCTACAAGGAGATTTATCTTAGAAAGTGTTGTTATCTAATCCCGTGAGACTGCTTTTTTCAGAGGGAGATTTATATCGAAAAGTGTTCTTACTGTCCATGAAACTATAAGTGAGGTTCATTCCACTGGCAGACCTGGGGTTATCCTCAAAGTTGATTATGAGAAAGCCTATGACAGTGTCAATCAAGATTTACTTATGGAAATGCTTGCCTCTAGAGGTTTTATAAAAAAAATAGATTGGCCAGATTCTCTCTATTCCACTGGGGGTAAAGATTTGAAACGGGGAGCCTTTATCTCCTATTTTGTTTAATTTAATTGCAAATGTTTTCTCTCGTATGCTCTCTAAAAGTGTCCATTATGGTATTATTTGTTGGATTCTTCCTGTTATTATACCTAGAGGTGTCATTAACCTCCAATATGCCGAGGACACCATACTTTTCTTGGATTGTGATCCTAGCCATGGTAGATATGTGAAATGGTTGTTATCCTATCTTCATCAACTTTCGGGCATGAAAGTCAATTATACGAAATGTTACTTTATCAATATCAATGTGGATATTGATGCTTCTAATCTTTTATCTCATATTTTTTTGTTGCAAGATTATTTCCTTTCCTCTCAAGTATTTGAGAGTTCCTTTGCATTATCTCAAGCTTAGGAGGGAGGATACCCAACCGAGTATCGATAAGATTATTAAGAGAATTTGTGGTTTGAGAGGTAGATACTTAGTTATGAGGCCAAACTTGTGTTGCTTAGGACCTATATTGCTAGTATCCCACTTTATTTGATACTACATGTGAGTTTTCCAAGTATAAACTACAGCAAATAAACTGGGACATTGTATCAGTTTTAGATTTTTCCAATATACTTTTTGCATATTGCGTGGTGCAATTGCTACTGTAGTGGCTGGTGGCGGTGCCGCCAATTTTAAAATCACTAGTCAACTAAAGCGGCAGAGCCACGGGAAGAGTTATTTCTATTGCAAGGAGAGTTTTTTGGTTCTAGAATAATATGCATGGTGAGGGATAGGCAAATCACAACATCCATAAGTCATATAAAGTGCGCTTCATAATGTTTTGAAAGTTGTGAAGTTGTGAAGGTCTTTGCACCAGTGGTTCAATGGGTCATCTAGTACATACAACCCACACTCCCTAGGATCCCAAGCTAGCCTCTTGCTAAAATTAATCCTAGAAGCTTCCCCGTGCCGTCGACATTTAGTGCTTGGCATATACTACTCTGCATATACCCTACCCACAATACCAGGGAACACTGTCGTGCACTTACCTTTGTCCATTTGAAGATACACATCCAATGCATCTGAGGACTGCCATATGCAATCATCCGAAGTGTCATAGTCACCTTATGGACATGGCAAAAACCGATCAGTCCACCGGCATTTACTATTGTTGGAAGAAAGTTCCATTGACTTCCATGTCGTCGGCAATTCAATGGAACATTCATTCCGTTATGTAGAAGCATCGCTGAAACATGTAGGAACGGAAGATAAAACTCGACAAAAAGTAGTACGCATGACCATTTCGTGGCCTTCGATTCTATTTCAGTGATTTGTCATAAGACCATCCCGCGATCCCACACGCTTCCTCTCGTTCCAATTGTCGCTATCCATTCAGCAACCACCAACACAACCTCATTTTCTTCCACATCCATAATTTCACTCTACGACACGAATCTCGAATCTGATGACGGGTCATCAAAAAATAGCTCTACCAATGGACCTATCTACAGAAAATGTGAATTATATGTTGTACATACCAATCTATGAGATGCTAAACTAAATTCCCAAGAAAAAGTGGGGAAACTTTACCTTCACGCAAGTCATTGAACACCTTGAGGGCACGCAACTAAAGGGGTAGCACAGTCAGATGGCGCAAAATAGACGTGGGGTTGCGGCGAACCATGGGAGGTCCGAGAAAGGCTAACCAGAGGCGGCCGGGGCCAAATCACGAAAGTCTAGACGGTCGAGGTGGCACCAAACCGCTGCGATGCGAGGATGTGGGTGATGAAAAAAGTGAGTGTGCATCCTAAAATGTTTGTGGCGTTCAGCTTTTGGTGGATGGACGGTGTGTTGTATCAAATCGTCCAACCGCCAAATTTGGAGGCTCATATGCTCGATTTGGAGCGGCCTCAAAAAATTATTTCGATCGAGCGTGCGACGATGATTCCCTTAGAGCTTTTTTACTAATTCCACTATAATAACGGTTGAACGGACCTGGATGTCGCCTAGAAGGGGGGAATAGAAACTAATATGGTTTTGGCTTGAATAAATACGGAGTAAAACTAGCATTTAATTTGTGACGTACCAAACCTAAATAAGCTCTTGTTAAAAAAACCAAAATAAGCTAGGCTCAACTAAGTGTACCAAAAACCTATGCTAAACAAGATAAATAACTATGTGATAGCAAGATATATAACTTGAAGCACGATGACTATCACAAAGTAAGTGCATAAGTAAAGGGCTCGTTAAGAGATAACTGAGGCACGCGGAGATGATGATGTACCCCGAAGTTCACAGCCTTGCGGATACTAATCTCCGTTGGAGCAGTGTGGAGGCACAATGCTCCCCAAACGCCACAATGGCTCACCATATTCTCCTCACGCCCTCCCACAATGCAATGTGTCGTGACTCCACTAAGGGATCTTTTAGGGTGGTCAGCGAACCCATACAATTGGAGGCCCTTGAGGGCGGTCACCAAACCCGTACAAATTGCTTGGGGAAAGCTCCACAACTTAATTGGAGGCTCCTGAAGTCTGTCTGAAGCTTTATACCACAATAATTGAGCTTTGCGGCAATACCAATGATGACCCACAACTACAGGGGATCTATCGTAGTCCTTCCGATAAGTAAGAGTGTCAAACCCAACGAGGAGCAAAAGGAAATGACAAGCGGTTTTCAACAAGGTATTTTCTGCAGGCACTGAAATTCTCGGTGACAGATAGTTTTGTGATAAAATAATTCATAATGGGTAACAAGTAACAAGTGTAACAAAGGTGCATCAAGGTGGCCCAATCATTTTTATAGCAAAGGACAAGCCTGTACGAACTCTTATATAAAGCAAAGAGCTCCCGAGGACACATGGGAATTACAGTCAAGTTAGTTTTCATCATGCTCATATGATTAACGTTCGCTACTTTGATAATTTGATATGTGGGTGGGCCGGTGCTTGGGTGTTGTCCTTATTTGGACAAGCCTCCCACTTATGATTAACCCCTCTCGCAAGCATCCGCAACTATGAAAGAAGAATTAAGATAAATCTAACCATAGGAGGAAACATGTGGATCCAACTCAGCTCCTTATGAAGCAACACATAAACTAGGGTTTAAGCTTCTGTCACTTTAGCAACCCATCATCTACTTATTACTACCCAATGCCTTCCCCTAGGCCCAAATCAGGGTGAAGTGTCATGTATTCGATGTTCACATAACACCACTAGAGGAAAGGCAACATACATCTCATAAAAATATCGAACGAATACCAAATTCACTTGATTACTTATAACAAGACTTCTCCAATGTCCCCAG